TTCTAAAAAGACAGGTGTTTCATACTTTGTATTTTTTATTGTATAGGTGCGTATTCCCGACGATAGTGATACTGAATACTACTGCAAGTTTTTCAGAGTACCCGAATTAAATCAAAAACATCACATTATTCACGTAAATTATTCATCATTTAATGCTTTAATTCACACGAATATTCTTACTATTAACACATTTATTTAGTTTAATACAGTTATCGAACCGGGAAACGAAAAAATTGTACATCATATGATATTGTATGAGTGTACAAACGTCGAGACGGAAAAAATAGCGCCTTATTTAAATGAAGAATACACCGAATGTTACACTAAAGATAACTTACCGAAATTTCCATTTTGTTTTACTCTTACCTATGGATGGGCCATTGGAGGAGAAGTAAATAAATTTGATAGTTTTAAATTTTAAAGATGATAAGATATTTATTTATTTTTAATCTTTTCTAGTCGTTTATTTTTCCTGATCAAGTAGGTCTTCCATTAGGTATTCCAGAAGTTAAATGGCTTTTATTAGAAACTCATTACGATAATCCCAGTTTAAAAAGAGGTAATTTATATTCTTATAATGCTAAATGTTTTCAATGATAATAAAAGGCTTTTCGCGTAGGAATCGTTGATAATTCTGGATTTAGAATTACGTATACGCCAAAACTTCGTAAACACGATGCTGCAGTATTAGCTATTGGAAATTTATGGTATCCTTGCATGTTTATCCCACCGAAACAGAAAGAATATATTGTGGCAGGACACGCACATCCATCTTGTTTACGTCAGGTATTAATTTAAACCATGCTTTCTTTCTTTCTTTCTTTTTGTTTTTAGAAAAAAGTAAAGAAATTGTTATTATTATTTAACAGAGACTTCCTCCAGAAGGAATCAAAATATTTGGTTTTCTACTTCATACTCATCTTCTAGGTACCAATATGTTATTACATTTGAAAACAAATTTTCAAAAATTATTAAAAATTTCAAAATTTAGGTAAAAAAGTCATAGTCAGACATTTTCGAAATGGAGAAGAGTTAATTCCTTTAGCTAAAGATTTAAATTACGATTTTAATTATCAGGTAAGTAATTATACAGTTAACGTATTGAATTTAGAATGAAAATATTTCTTTAAATTAAAAAAATTTTTAATAGCAATTTAAATATTTATTTGAAGAACGCACTCTACTGCCCGTGAGTATAAAATTTTAATTCTTTTTTGACTGTACGACATAACACAAGTTATTCTATGCTGTATATTATGATGAATATAAAATATATGATAATGCCATTGAATTGAATTACATATTCTCTAACAGAATGATCATTTAGTGGTAGAATGCATTTACGATTCTTCAAGAAGTTCAAATGTAACGTTTGTAAGTAACACAATAAAATATTTTGAAGTAGTTTTAAGTCTTAGTTTAATAATTAAAGTAATTTTAAGTAATAGATATTTAAATATCTATTTAATCATATAGTCTATATATACATACAAGGTGCTCGCTTTAACATGTATCTATGAAAAAAGAACGTCTTTCTAGCATTGCAGTGGAACTAATGTATCACGTTCTGTGCATTAGTTCTACTGCAATATTTACGTAAATACAAGATACAAATTGAAAACGCAATCTTGAAAATACAAATGGAAACACATTTCTCCGATGTCCTTATAAAAGAATGAAATTATTCAGGTAGAGGACTGTGATGTCTTATATCTTCTAGTTGCACCAAGACCTGTGCTAACGACTATTCTGAACTAATATTCTTGTGGCAGTCAATTATTACGGTTTAGTCTATTGTCTTCTCGATATCGAAGTTTCTGGTATACTTCCATGCATATTTACAAGCGCTTATACGTAAAGTAGTGAGGCAATGATGACTGCAATGGATACAAATACATTGAAATTTACGTCACTATTACATGCATTCACTTAAATGCTATCTACAACTGGCAGAACATGCAGGAGATGATAGCTAGGTTCAACTAGAATAGGTTTTGTATCGGCAGCATCGCGTGGCAATTCATTCCCAGGCAGACATACGACCGATAGATAGGACAATGCAGTTCTGTCCCATGCCGCTGCATTTCCTGGACTTGACAAAGTTGGATTATTTTTCTGTGGATTAACATAAAAGCATTAATTTATGACGTTTTCTAATTTCTAAATATGTATATCGTTTAGGAAATATTTTATGTAGATTTTGGAAATAATTATTTCAATTTTCTACTATCGAATCAAATGTTTTCATTATTTCTCTCAACTAGAAAGGATAACGATAACAACAAAAATGAAATGATAAAAATATACAAGTTAAAAATTTCAATTTGAATTAATCGATTCTATTTTTTAGGGAGGATTATCGACGAGAAAAGAAATGTGTCTGGCATTTTTTGCATATTATCCAAGGTTAAAGATATCTTTTTTAGCTAGTTGCCCGTCGCCTTTCAATGTTATGAAAAGACTCGGAGTGAAAGAAATGTCGGAGTAAGTTATACGTCTTACTTTTAAATATAGAAGAATAGACTAAGATAGGACATTTCTAAAATATTCACTTGGTATTTTCTCTTCCTAATGTTTTTCTCAACTAAGAAAACGTTACATAACGTTAGGGTCGCAATCCTTGAGTAACGGAATGATTCATTTGCGTTTCTGAAGTGTTGTTTAGTGAACCTTAATGTTTAAATCAAAACTTTGTACATTACACAAGTAATTAATAAGAAAATGTAACGTTCGGTACCCTCGTGTTGTGTATTGTTCCTTAGTACAATTAAACTTGGAACTCGCGTTAATGGAGTTGATCTGTTTATATGCCGTAGTCCATTTAAAACTTCCGAATGGCTTTTTATAAGATTAAACTATAAAAAAGTATATGGAAAATTCAAAGTAGCCCTCTAAACTGTAGAGGGATCGTTTGGATTATCCTGATAATAGATAGTTCGGTGTACTGTACTGTACCTATAAAGAAATTTTCAGAATTTTACAAATAATAAAAAGCCTTTTCACATTATTTTAATTCTTATATCAATAAAACTGTCTTATTAATATTTTCATTGATTTAAATAGTGAAAGAGTAATTGTTCATTTTATAAATTTTAGCATTTAAATTATTTCATTCATAATTAGAATACACAAGCTTTATCTAAATTTATACAATAAATATAACTATGAGTTAAAATATAATTAAAAATCTTGTTATATATCCAGAAATTACTTTCCTGAATACAGTATTTACGTTAAATTTATAAAATATTTTCTACAAATATTATTCAATTTTAACTTAAAAGTATATTTCAAAAAATAACAATTGTTATTATATCAAATTATTTATTATATAAGTATTAATTATTATTTACAGTATTTTGGTACAAGCACTGAATTTGAATAATTGAACTGTAATTAATAAAGGTTTATTGATATGTTTATTTTCTCAGTGATGATAGATTCGTCATCTCACCATCAACTGGAAAGAATCAGAGTTATTACGAGTTTTTAAATACTTATCCATGGGATTATCAATCTGTCAATTCTGTACAGAATGCAATGAGATATGGTCCTCAACTGAATATTTGCGCTGATAGAGGAGGAAAAGGAATACTGGTAATTACATTCTGTATTTAAAAAGTTCTATTATTTTGCTTTCGTTTTTAGTTTTTTCCTATGATTTTAATACAGTATTGTTTTGTCTATTCAATGTACCGTTTTGAACATTTGTCTTTCTTGGACTGTACCGTTTTGAGCCTTCAACTCTTCGATTCACTATGATAGGTCGTTATGCCTTAAGGATAATTGTAAACTCTTTGGTTATGCGTGCGATCTCCAGAAGATTACGTTAAAAATGTAATGTTTTTTCTATGAGAAAATCCTTTCCAAAAATTCTCGAAAACAGAAGCAGATAGAACCAAACAGTTTTATTCGTTAAAAACCTATTTAATTCTTCTAGTTATCCTATATAATTTCAAAAATGAAATTAATTAATTTTCTACGAATCTTCTACGATTTAAAAAAATTCATAGAAAATTAACGAACTCGATTTTTAAAATTCTGAATCGTACGTTAATAGAAGAATTAAACAGGATTATAACGCAAAAAACTGTTTGGTTCTATCCGCTTCCGTTTTGGAGAATTTTTTTTTGGAAAAAGCAATATATTTTTAACTCCATCGCTGGAAATTACGTGTATTAACAAAGAGGTTACAATCGGTCTTTATATATGACTAATCCATTTATCTATTTCTCATCATATTTAATACATATAAAATATATTTAAATTTGTGAAATAAAAAAAACTAATTCGTAGTTATTATTATTTTCAGTCTTTTGTTCTATCCAGATATCCTAAGGTGAAGAAGATTCACAAAGAAAGTTATAAATGTAGAAGCAATAACTAAATAATATTTTCATCTCAGGCTATATCACATTCGGCTATTCTTAGACACTCATAACTTAGAATTTACGTAATAACTCGAGTTATGATTATTATCATAATTTATGAGTTGTATAGAAAAATAAGTGTATCTGTACGGATTTAATAGTAAACAAGATAATTATTCCATCGTGTTTCTTAGATCTTAATTCAGGCCAAAGCCGTATGGCTGATCATCAGTCTCACTGGCTGTTGCGACATACAGTTCAATTTAGGATTCTGGTACTGAAATGAATTCTATGTTGCAACAATATAAAAAATACTTATATTTTTGGGGTCTGGTGGTCTATCTTTATGGAGTCCCTGAAGACCCTGTCGCCTCGAGCTTCGAGAACGACTCTACTTTTATAAACTATTCAGTGAGTAAAAATCTCAAGATTACATATGCTTTATAACAATATAACTTGTACTCACATTTATAATTTTTGACATCAGCCTTTAATCTCATTTTATATAAGCCGAATATACATTTATACTAAGGTTTTTTTTTAACAGTTTCTCCCTAAAGGAACAAAGAGGGTCTTTTTAGCAAGCCCATTATAGGTTCGGCTAGGCCCCCAATGGCGGCTTGGTGGCCTGAGACGGAGCCCGATGGACCATATCAGGGTTCCTGATGGTTTTCTATGTGTTCGGATCGATTCCTGGTCTCCCAGAGCCGTAAGCTACCACCTTAACCGCTCGGCCATTCGAAGTGAAAAAATAATAAAACACGAATTAATTAAGTACATTAGAATTTGCGAAATTCATGTAAATTACGAGTCGAGTCAATCTCTTACTATTTGAAATCCTCGTATTTTTAAAAGGGCATCGTAAGGGTTTTAAATTGTCAGAGTCTTTTTTGATTAACGTACAGTCCAGAACCACTGAACATCAAATTGCATGAACTAGTTCTACGTAACAATATGCTTTCTGCTTTCTGTAAACGGTATCAGATTCTTTATTAGATTAGATTTCACAGAAACAGACAATGCCGTTAACAGGTATGAATATTTCGAATATTTCATATACACAGTGTCCGATTTATTGTTAAAACTTCTTTAAATGAAACAATTTCAAATTCTTATCGAAGTCTTACGATTAAAATATTTTGTATTAATATGTAATAGTTTTCGTTGTGATTTTATAGCGTATAATTAATAACTTTGCTATGTTGTGAGTATATTAATTTATTGTTATACAATTGTAGTCTGTGTATGAAGAAGACTTTAATGTTCTTCAGCGTAAATATTTGTAACAGAAATTATAGGGGAATAAAAGTAAACAGTGTTTGTCGATTAACTTTATTCAAAAGGAAAAACATTAATTAATAATAGAAATGAAAAATAATAATATAAACACATTTAATTGTAATAATAATTAATAATAATAATAAAATAAATAAATAAATATGATAAATGTCGAGGCTCCATTCCTATGATTGTATGGAATCATGATAGCAGGAGTTTTAACTAGGCCTTTTACATCTTAACTATAAATATTTAAATATATTTTTATTTGTTTTTCCACTTCAAATACTTAATATTATTTATTACGCTACTTAAAAAAATTAAATCAATAACATAACATTTAAAACCATCAAAGTAGATTTCTCTTTACTTGTATTTTAACAAATATGTTATGGTACTGTACATCCAGTGTCCACGACAAACTACCTAACCCAATAATAAAAACATCAATTATTTAATAATAATAAACAAATTTGGACATAATCAGAGAAGAGTGCGGTAGAGAGTAGAAACAAATTAACTACACCAAACTGGAAACGAAAAACCACAATTGCCATCTCACATATGGAAAGAGATGCATATGCATGCACCATGTAAGTCAAGTAAGAATGCAGACAGGACGAGATATTACCATGTCCCTCGAAATCTGATGCTCTAGGATCGGGAGTACTGCTCCTATTTAGGAATTAGATTCTGAATGCAGAGTCATAGTCAGAGGAGGAACGATACACGCATGAAATCGAATTGGCAGAATAAAAGTATCTTTAACACATTCTTATGTAGTTTGTTTCTTTGTACACGACAACGTAACGGGTTGGCGATTTGCCTCCGGAATGCCTCCGAATCTCAGAGAGGGAATTTCTAAGGGAAACTGGTTCCTATTTATGTGTTACAAATGTGGTCAGACCATTAGCAAGTCGCAAATCCACGACTAACTACTAATGTTCAGTGGTTTCTCTTCTTAGTAATCTCTTTGGAACATCCGAAATATATAGTTTCTTGTAATAAATATAATTTTTAAAAAGATGTAAATATTACATAACATAACTATGGCAGGAAAAATATATTTTTTATTTCTAAATCATGACAAAGCGATATGATAATATCTGGTGATTATTGGGCTTCAATTTGAAAAAAAAACTGTAGACCGAAAATTAGAACTTCCTATACGAACTTCCGATACAAATCGTAAGTCATGTCATTTCAATTCAAAAAATTTTCCTTTAAAAGTGTTAGATGACCGGCACGACTCCATTGTTAAAGGAAAAATATAATGTATAGGGGCAAGCCACAACTAATTTGAGATTGAAAGCATATATTTTAAATTAAATAAATTAAAAATATGATTAAAAATTGCAGCCTGGCATTGTGATCATGTCACAATAATTGCTCCTTCACTTTTATTTCTTACATTTCATCTTCATTTTGTTTATACCTATTTAAAGGTATTTTATTACTGGTATCAGTTAATTAACTATATAATTTATTTTTTCACAGTGATTATTTAAAATGAAAAGAATTTCGCTAATTCTGTATCTGAAAAATCTTCCAACTGTTAAAAAAGAACTCGAAGTAAATGGAGAAGACAGGATTAATTTGGAGACCGATATTAAACAATAAATAAATATTCAGATAAAATTCGTTATTGCAAATTAGCCAATGTCATTAAGAAATTATATTTATGTTCCACATTGCCGGACAGAAATGGCAACTGTCATGTAGTACCTCATAATATCTTCTTTTTTACTTTTTGTAAACCTGCCTATGCACTAGTCAGTATTATAGGAAAGTCAAGTCCTTCTACAAGCATATAGAAACCACACGCTGGGATGACTGCAGTAGAATAAGAAATTATGAACTTTGTGAAATCCTTCACAACAGTTTATACTTTTTAGCGACCGTTTTGGGGATGTTGATTGTTTAATAAAGTTTATAATACTTATTTTCTTCCAAATAGAATATTTCATTTATACACACTAACTTTTACAGTCTTAATTTAATATTTCCTCATTATAAGCTTCTTTGTATTTATTTTTCACTTCATGTAAAACAATTTTTGCAACACTCGTCAACTCTTTTCAGCCCGTAATATTGCATTAATTATGCTAGCACTCATTCAAATATGTAAGGTCTAAACATTATTATACATTTATACTTTTAAATGCTGAATTTACCGAATTTTCAATTTATTATAATTCGTTTCTGTCAAGAAGAACGGTTCAAATCTATCTGAAACATTCGAACCCTTGAATAGGTGTAATTACAATGACATAGATTTTGAGCATCCCAAACAGGAAATAATATATTATATATTGAAATAGAGATAGTATTATTCGATAAGGTCAAAAATATATCGTGACATTTGCGACAATTATTTGTTTGAAACAGATTTATAGCAGTTCATACGAGCGTGAAAGAGCGAATAAATGACTCCACAGAGGTTCAAGAGCAAATAAAAACTTGCCATAATGAAACACTTGATGGCGAAAGTAAGGTCAATGTCATCAACACTAAAGCATAAATGAATGTGTCCGTAAATGTAATAAAAATCTATTTAGTAAACTTGAAAGTAAACAGAATTTTAAAATATAATTTAAGGAGATACTATTTCGATTATTATTAAAACTGCTGTACTGTACATTAATTCGTTCACTGACAAGGACAACGACTTTAATCGTGTCAAAAAAGATCCATCTAAATTCACAGTGTAAGATAAACCGGTTTTTAAAAAATTTATCAATCATTTAAACTATACCTTTTAATTTTACAACATTTAGTTTGTTTTAATAGAAAAATTTTTTGAAAAAAAATACATGAATTTTATCCAGTTTTATTTGTTTACCGGTAAAATGGTCTACTTCTTGATTAGATATAGTGTTTTTTTTTTTTAAATATAAAAAACAGCTCATTAAAAGGGATGCGATTAGAGATTCAAACTGGTTCTTTGTCTAGCGTTTCTTACCTTTAAAATGTCCATTTTCACTTTTTTAGTGTTGTGTATTTTCTCGGTTTTTGCACAAAATTTCGATCGGCATTCAAAATTAGACGACAATTACGAAATTTGGTGGTCGACGGACGAAGAATCTATTACCTTTCAAGTAGAAGTTGCAACTAGAGGATGGGTTGGATTGGGAATTTCTCCAAATGGTGGAATGGAAGGTAGCGACGTGGTCATCGGATGGATTAACAACGGAAAAGCCACATTTCACGTAAGATTTTGGAAGAAATTAACCATTTTTTCTATCGAAAGATCAATTTAAATCTTTAAAACATATATTATAATGATTAAAATTTATATCAATCATATATTTAGAGATTTATATCATTTGAATAATTAAATTAGTAAGAATACTTTAATTCAATTGAAATATTTTTTATATTCAAAAATAATTCCATATTCATAATATTAAATCATTTTTAATTAATGATATTATCATTTAATTATAAGTTAGAAGTAATGAAAAGTTTATTAATTCTATTTTACTACCTAAAAATTGTTAATTGAATCGTAAAAATTAAGATGATTAAAATCAGATTAAACAATGTAAATTATTTAAACCTTATTACATTTAACTCAATTATTAACATTATAATTAATTTTCAATTTTTATATTATGTAATTAAATTATCCAAAACTCCACGCGTTTAACACCTAAATAGGATCAATTTTTCATGAAAAGTCCACCTGGGAAGCACCATCTTGGCAGATCGCCCATGTTGTGTTGCTTTATTCCATCAGTCCAATCTAATGTAATCAGACTTGTGAAGTAAAATTTGGCAGTTGTCGGAGTAAAGAGGAGATGTAACTCTCCTTTCTACATGCTATAAGGTTATTTCTTTTATAGTTTATATTTATAAGAATGCGATGATCGGGACAGATGAGAGATCAAGAAGGTATGCGGGTGATTGGCACCGAGATAGACCCTACGGTTACAGCTAAATGTTTATTTGACACGAAAGAATCTTACAAGATTTTCACCATCTTGGAAGTTTTAAGTCGGCGGCGATCTCTGGGACTTCCTCTCTTTCCAAGATAGACCGAAATGAAAGAGTGTCTCTGCCTTGAGAATTTCTTCGACATGTCGACGGATCCGGGATGATTCGAGGAAAGGAGACGTAGACAAAGATAAGCACATACACAACAATTGGTCCGACAGTTGGAACTTTCGCTCTTGAAATTCTGGGATTTTATTAATTTCTGTCTTCAATCGTCCATTTCCTCGTTCTCGTTCCCAAGTGACTGATCACTTGTTACGGTGTGTAACGAGATCTCAACTTAGATAGCGAGAGAGATCAAAATCGACGTTTAATTCGATCCCAACCGGAGATGATCGATCTTAGGACTTACATTCTTCTATTGTTTAAATGTTCGCGTCGCATTTTTATATAAAACAATATTTCTAGCTTTCTTTTTTGTTTCAGAAAAATATTTTAACGAGAATTTCAGTGAGGGTTCGGACCTGTCCAGAGCCTTACACATTTATCATGTATTTTATATTTACAAGAATCAATATCTGTAAGTATTTCCAAGTCGGCCGGAAGATCGAAGCAATTGAGGCATCAGCTTGCAACCTGCAGCTGTGAATTCTGGCCAGCAACTTCTCAAGAATTTTTTATGGACTGTCTCCCCCGATATGTGGATCTCGACATTTACCATTTGATCTTGGTGAAACCCACGATTTTTACGGAAAAGATACTATTAGGGCTCATATTACAAGAACGAAGAAGAATGAAAAATGTTTTTCTTTTTTCACGTGAATGATATGTTATAGTATACGCGATATCATTAACAGTAATTATTCACTACAGAATATAAGTGTCTTCACAGTTTTCTTTTCTTTGTTAATCTCATTAACTCTCTCCCGTTTTGTTTCTAGATCATCTCGCTATATTCTTCCCATTTTCTTCTCCTCTTCTTCATTCTACTTTTAGTATTTGTAATCTTGTTTAATTTAATGCATTCATTGATTAAATAAAAAATATTTTTTTTTACTTGAAAACGAGTATTCATTGTGACCAAGTCACAATGTCTAGCTGAAATATTTAATCATATTTTTAATTTATTTAACTTAAAATTTATGCTGTCCATCTGAAATTAGTACAGTACTGTAGTGTCTTGCTCTTGTACTGTACATCATACTTTTCCGTTAACAATAAAGTCCTGCCGGTCATCTATCTAACAACTTTCGGGAGAATATTTTTGAATTGAAATAACTCGACTTTTCATTCTCTTTTAGACCGGAAGTTTGGATATAGTTAATCGGGGTCTTCTGTCTCTAAAGTTTCCAAATCTGTCTCGTCTTTCACGTATCTAACTGTGTTGTCGATATTAAGAAAAGGCAGACAGATGGACAGACGGACTATACTAATTTATAGGTCTACAAGTTCTTCAAATTGCATGTAAATAATTTGCTCTACATTTATAATAATAATTAGTATCAAATACAGATAAAACTTCATGATAAATTTACAGATTTAATTCTTTTACAAGTTTTTTTTAAACATCTTTAGGCATTAAGAAGGTCTTTTTACAAGCTGATTATGGATCACCCATTATAGTTAATTCCACAAAAAGCCAATCGGGTGTGAAGAACGAGGTCCAAATGGTGGGGAGACCCAAAAATAACCGGATTTTTTGTATAAAAACTTTATTTATTAACTTTTTTACAAAATTTTTTCAGTCACCTTCAAAGTGCTCTCCATTAGATGCGATGCACTTGTCAAGTCTTTTCCCCCACTGTTTGAAGCATCTCTAGAACTTTTCAACCTTGATATCGTCCAGTGTCCTTAGCGAAGTTGTTTTTACCGCCTCCACATCATCAAAACGCTTCCCTTTTAGATTTTTCTTCATTCTCGGAAACAGAAAAAAGTCGCACGGGGCTAGGTCTGGTGAATATGGAGGGGGAGAACGACAGGCCATCCCAAGAGGCCAAATAGTGAGTCACTCGTAAGGCCGTGTGTGCGGGGGCGTTGTCGTGATGAAGGAACCAGTCACCTGATCGCCAAAGTTCCGGGCGTTTCCTTCGCATATCCTCTCGCAGACGTCTTAACACTTTTTTGGCGGATTTTTTCAACGTTTTCATTGTTTCGAGATGTTGAAGGTCTCTTAGAACTTCGCAGGTGGAACAAAATAACAGTAAAAGAAACACAACACTACGCTCAAACATAAACCTACAAACTGACACCGTTTGGACAACTGTTTCATGATGGTCTCTAACCCCATGTAACGGGAGAACTCTCTACTACTACGAATGGCAGCGCTCTCAGTTCGGTTTTTTTTGGGTCCCCCTCGTATAGGGACGGACCATCCCTAAAAAGTTCCTGGTTTTTCCTACCCGTTCAGATTCAATACTGAATCCTCCAGAGCCGCAGGCTGCCACCTTAGCAGCTTAGCCTTCCGCCATCTTCTTTCACAAGTTAGAAAATGACAAAAATATAAAAATTATGCCCGAGGAATCATAATGACTGCTAATACAAGTTATTTTAAGCGTTTATATTCTTTTTTTCTATTATTGTAATATTGTTTCATATAACATTAAGGATATTGAGATGCAAGCCCCAGTATAACATAAACACAAATCCTCTTGATGGAACATAATCTACTTCCAAATCTTACTTTGAAATTACAATTACTCTAATGATAACAGTAGTTAACATTGACTTCTAGTAATTGTAGACTTTTAAATGGAATAAATATTAAATAACAGTTAAAAAATTAAATACAAAAACAAAATGAAGTCAACAACAGATAAGAAGGCAATTATCATAATTAATTAACATAACAGAATATTACGTGTTATATGAATTGGTTGATAATAGAATAATTATCTTAGATTAAATGCCCAGAAAAGGGGAAAAAATGCCTAAAACAAGTAAAGCTATGATATTATTTTGATTCACCGATTGTCGTTGGTTATTACAGGACAGATACGCCAAAGGAAAGTTTCTTCCGGAAATTGACGAACATCAAGATTGGGAACTTCTGTGGTATCAAAAGACCGATACGCATACAAAGTTTCGTTTTAAAAGATTTCTCATTCCTTGCGATTCACAAGATTTACACATAACTGTAAGTACAGAAGATTTATCAATGGTATTCTATTTAGTGACATTTTCTAAAGGAAAACATAACATACAGGATGAAACTACGAGATTAATATTCGCCTACAATGACGAAAATCCTGGTTCTACGGGTGAGATCTCATATCATGGTCCAAAAAATAGAGGAACCAAGAGTGTTACTTTAAAGAAGTATGAGAGGGGTGTATTGCTAGAAAATCCTAGCGATCTGTATCACTGGGAAGTCACACATTCAAACGTGAGTATTAGCAATTATCGAATTGTATTTTAATCTTATTAATGATTAACGTTTCCTATCACATTGAAGAATTTTTTTTTGGAAAGTTGAGTCAATTTGCAAAATGTAGTCACATAGAGGCGAAACAAGCATTGCAAGCGTTTTCATTCTTTTTGCTGTCATATATGATCTAACACATAAATATATGTGATTAATAGTAATAGCCTGTATTAGTACAAGGTATAAAGCATCCTATTGATATGTATGCAATATTAAAAAAGAGAGAGTCCTTTTTAGAAATTTGAAATCGCATACATGCCAATATGATACAATATACTTGTATTTGATATATTACATGAAGATGGAAAGAATAATGTCCAATAAAGGCATTATAAAACATAGGGCTCATACAGTTTTTTTTTAACATTTTTTCAAATTTCATCTCATCAACAGATTGAGATATTCAAAAAAACGTAAATAAATGCTCATTTTTAAAATAAATCATAAAATTAACGTCCGATTCGAGATCACGAGGAAGAAGAACATAGCATTTACACTAAAAGCCAAACTGTCCGACCTTGATGATTACCCTAGATCTCATAGATCTATATTGATACTTATGGCATGCCCATCGAGCCAAAATGAAAATAAAAATGTTAAAGATATTAAGGATGTTTGTTGTATAAATATACTTATAATCTTTCAAATATTTTATATTATTTTATCTAAAAAAAGATGTTTTACTGATTGCTTTTACACTGAAAATATATTATTAAACTGTAGCTATTCCTACAATACTCTGTACTTTTCATCGTTTAGGTGCGAATTCCTGATAATAGTGATACTGAATACTACTGCAAATTTTTCAGAGTACCTGAATTAAGTCGAAAACATCACATTGTTAAAGTAAATTCTTTATATTTTTATATTTTTGATGTTCCAATTTACATAAATACTTACCATTAACACATATATTTAGGTGGATACAGTTATCGAACCGGGAAACGAAAAACTTGTACATCATATGATATTATATGAGTGTACAAACGTCGAGACGGAAAAAATAGCGCCTTATTTAAATGAAGAATACACTGAATGTTATACTAAAGATAACTTGCCGAAATTTCCATTTTGTTTTACTGTTACCTATGGATGGGCCATTGGAGGAGACGTAAATAAATTTTATATTTTTAAATTTTAAGGATGATAAGATATTTATTTATTTTTAATCTTTTGTAGTCGTTTATTTTTCCTGATCAAGCAGGTCTTCCATTAGGTATTCCAGAAGTTAAATGGCTTTTATTAGAAACTCATTACGATAATCCCAGTTTAAAAAGAGGTAATTTATATTCATATAATGCTAAATGTTTTCAATGATAATAAAAGGCTTTTCGCGTAGGAATCGTTGATAATTCTGGATTTAGAATTACGTATACGCCAAAACTCCGTAAACACGATGCTGCAGTATTAAGTTTTGGAAATTTATGGTATCCTTGCGTGTTTATCCCACCGAAACAGAAAGAATATATTGTGGCAGGACACGCACATCCATCTTGTTTACGTCAGGTATTAATTTAAACCATGCTTTCTTTTTTTTAGAAAAAAAACAACAGAATTGTTATTATTATTTAATAGAGACTTCCTCCAGAAGGAATCAAAATGTACGCTTTTCTACTTCATTCTCATACTATAGGTATGAAATATTATTAAAAATGTATTTAAAAATAATAAATTTTTCTAAAAATATCTTAAAATTTAGGTAAAAAATTNTGACTACTAGCCAATGGACGATCGCCATAGAAATTTCATTCGAGGAGTACGATAAACACATCAACGATTTACGATACCAGTTAAATGCCCTTTCGCCTATAATTAGAAAGGCTAATAGGGATAAGGAGGACCCTCTAAGACCTTTATGGACTTTGACTGATGTAGAAATGGACAATATAAATCGGGAAATGGCGGAATACGATAGGGAGTATGTTGATTTGAAGGCTATGGTCACTACAACCGATTTTCCTCGCACGAAGCGAGGGTTGATAAATATGGGGGGGGAAATATTAAAGATTTTGTTCGGAACCGCCACCTCGGAGGAAATTCAGGATGCGAATAAGAAGATCGACAATCTGGTAACTAACCAGAAAAAGATAGTTCACATTTTGGAGGCCCAAACCACGGTGTTGAATCAGACTTTGCGAGCCGTAAAGGACAACAGGAAATACATAGATATGATGATCCGACGGCAAAACTATTTAGACACAACCCTCCAGGCCTTTAGTTATACGTTCTTTGTAGGTACGGCGCTCCGGTGTGTGGAAGGCGCTTTGGCCGAATTCAGGTCTAGCGTCACCAATTTGAGACAGGCCATAGAAATGCTGGAACAGGACAGGCTCAGTTCCTACTTCCTGTCCAAACCACAATTATTACAGATACTAGGGGAAGTCAATAAACAACTACCTAGCGGGATATCCTTAGTTGAACCGATAACGGAGGACAATGTTTTTAAGTATTATCAGTGGATGACGACCACAGCAGTGGCACTTCCCGGTAAGCTTCGAATTTTCGCTAGGTTCCCCCTAATGACTCCTGAAGGGTATTTTGACCTATACGAGGTTGTGAAGTTTCCAGCATATTTCCCGTCNGCTAGGGGAATAGAAACCTTACCATTACAACTACGACGTTTATAAAACCTGCGAAAGAAACGAACTTCGGAGAATAGAGGTGAACGGCTCAACTTGCTCTCTACTATATGTTTTGTTTTTCTTTTTTTTGTAGAAACCTTTCAAAGTCAGAAAAAAGAGATGGAAGAGAGTTCTAATGAAGGGAACGCCCGTGAGGAAGAAAAGGCGCCCGTCTCTCCGATGCCGGTAAACGAGGATCCAACTGTTATCTCCTTGTTAGAGTGTCCGGTGTGTTACGAGAACTTGGCAACCCCCATTTTCCAATGCGTAGCCGGACATCTCCTGTGTGGCAGTTGCAGGGGACGAGTACACCAGTGCCCCACTTGTCGAGGATATCTCGGAGAATTAAGAAACATCGCGATGGAGAAGATGGCGGAGGCGATAGCTCTTCCCTGCAGGTTCAAGGATAATGGCTGCCAAGTGGTACAGAAACTGCAAAAGAAGAGAATTCATGAACAACATTGTCTGTACCGGACATGTGAGTGCCCGACTTTGGATCCGACGTGCTCATGGGAAGGGGCTTTCCAGACCTTAGTAGAGCATCTACGTGACCGTCATCGTTCGATGGTCTCGGTGAAATCAGGGTCCATAAAATTATCGCTCGTGGGTCTGGAGTCGACTCATCCCTTGTCGTGGGCAATCAGAATGAATTGTCACGGACATGAATTTATTATTCAAGTAAAGAAAAGTGAGACGGGGTTTGATAATGGCCGTATAAGTCTACTCATTCGCTTTGTAGGCAGCAAAAAGGGTGCGAGCCGATTTCGGAGCTTCCTCTTGGTAGGAGGGAAAGGAAAGGCTCTGGCTTGGAATTCGTCTCCTAAAAGTGTTATGGAAGAGACGAGAAAGATTATTGAGGAGGAAGAATGTCTAACGGTGTCTTCAAAATTCATAAGCCACCTTCTCATAAATCAAACTCTCAGTGTAATGGTTTCCGTGGAACCCATGGGTTCCTAAAATATCCAGCGTACCTTCTTTAGCAAGACACGAAAGGACAATGACTTCAACGAAAAAAAAAAAAAAAAACCCAGGAAAACATCTCTCCCTGTCTATGAACAACTTTTTCTGTAAAATAACTCCCCAAAGGGGGACGGCGACCCAATTGGCGGGAAAAGAGAGAAAAATATAATTTTTGGTTTTTTTGGGGGCTTTCATATAGAATGGCAGAGAGAACTCTACGTGGACAATCCAGAGGGAGAGTGCCGCGGATGGTCTTCACGGAACCCGCATGGGACGACGATTGGGAGATACCCCATACCATTCTTTCTGGATCTGACGAATGGGAAGAGCCCCTCCAGATACCCGCTAAGGTGGAAGTGATAAAACAAATCCTCCAAAAGACCCGACAGGTGAATGATGAACCGGACCAAGTACCCGAATTTATTATATTACCCTGGCAAATGGACGTCCCGGATACATTGAAGGAAGAAGTTCTACAACTTAACCGAGAAACCGCTCGCCGATTAGAAGGAGGAGAGGGAGAGAGCAGTAAAACGGGCCTCGCCATCATAGAACAGGCAGATCAGGAAGAGAATCCTGTAGAACAGTCCGCCACTGAAACCACAGCCGCACCTGGCGCGATGTCGCTTCGGTCAGAGGATGTGGATGGGCCTCACGCTTCCCGTCCGGAGCGTGGAGGACGAAGAAGAAATAATGGATTCAGAACCTGGGCGGAAATGTCTCCGGAAGAACGGGGGTGGGCACGAGGAAGGGCTAGGTCCTTCCCTCCACGACCTCCCAACTCCCGAAGATAAATTTAATCATAGTAGCATGTGCTAATGTCTTTATGTAGTAGCAAAATGTAATCGGAAGAATCGGGTTCTCCATAGTTTTATGGGGACGTTTAGTACACTCCCCGTGGGTGTGAATTGGTGTGAAAAATACACCCAAGCGAGTGAAATATCCTATTTGTTTTTTTTTTCTTATTTGAAACTCTGTAGTCGTGGAAACTAGTAAATGGAAGCTGAGCGAGTTGAGTGAAAAGAATAGAAAAGTAGATAAATAAATGTAATTCTTATGTTATAAAACTGTTGCTTTTGTTCAAAGTTACGCGACACCTTCTCCAACTCGATACGTACGCGAGCGCGAACTATCGGGTCATCGTCCTAGCTCGAATGGATCGCGTTGAGCTAGCGAACGTTCGCGGGACCTAAGGCCCATTGTTAAAATGTCGCATCTGGTGGCGACATTTTAAAAGAAAGGGGGGTGCCCTGTGAGGACCCGAACAGGGGTCGACTGAGAGGTCCGAATTATGGGTTCGATCGAAAATAAAGAGCTCCTTTTCAGACGATAAGGAAACGGATTAGGTGTCTCGATTGAACAATGCAATTGGTTTTTTTCGGAAAATTAGTTAAACAATGGAAACGGAGAAATTCGAGGAAAACGCGACGAGAGAGAGGATCATATTCAGTCGCTATGTTAACCTCTCCCGCGCCCTCCATTAGGTTTCGAATTGTCACCAGGTGACAATGAGAGACCAATGGAGAGGCGACTGCTGTAAAAAAATCTATAAATTTGTGCGACTCAAGAGACGAAGGTTCTTGGTTCGTAGTTTTTGGTTCTTGGTGTTTGGATACGTAGTGTGTCGTCTCATGGACGGTCGTGCTCCAGATCTTAGAAAAAAAAGGACATTTTGGAACATCGTGGAAGCATCGTTCTCTGGGTGCTCCTAGCAATCGACAGATTCGTCGGATCGTCCGCGAGAAGCCGCCGAAAGCCGTAATCAACGCCCCGGGGCCCACCGAGTGTTTCACCGACAGCGTCCATCCACTAGTGACGAAAACCGACTTTTACGAACTTTATTTCGAACTTTATCCGTGCGCTTTGGGGTGATACCTCGTCTAACAAGTAATCTGTAAGGAAAATTTCTATGTTTAATAAACGGTTATATGGTAAACCTGTCTCAGGAAGTCAGTCAGCGCCCACACGACAGAACGAACCGCTCGGCTATCGAACACCTCACCTCTAATCGACTAACCTCACATTATACGGGGGATGGTATCAATTCTCGAACCGTGTTAGAGCGAATCCGTGCTATAGAAGTGCCGTGTTATACGGGGGTTACCTGTAAATATAATAAGATGCATAAACTGTATAAAGTTTAATGAAATAAACGGACGTCCACAGTAGCAAAATCCTGTTCCTCCCTCTTGTATGACTTTGTCCAATGTGTGGTAACCCTGTCTGTTCTTTCCAGTGTGGACGTCATTTATGGACAGCCCTCAACACTTAAATAGGGATCAATTTTCCATGGAAAATCCTCCCAAAAGACGATTCCAAAGAAATTTTTTGGGGGGGACAGTTCGTGTTGCGTTTTCTTATTCCATCCAATCGAATTCGTTGATTTTAACGGTCTTTCTATTGTTAAATTTTTTCTTCCAGAAAATGCCATTTTACGCTTCCAGAATGCACTAATAGAAAGGCTAACTTAGAGAGTCTATAATGAGAGAATGGTCAAACAG